CCTCTAGTCTTGAACTGGGTATGTTTTTTAGAAGTTTCTTGTTACCACTGTCGATAAGACTGTAAATTATGTTTAGGGCAACACCGGTCATAAATAGGGTATCAAATTTTTTGGTCAGGTCATGAATAGAGTAGGGAGAATTGCAGATTTTGGTCATACATAGGGTGAGGGTTTTGGGAAGCACGCCACACACCCCCACCCAATTTTTTTGGGAGTACCACCCCCAGGGTGTTTGTGATACATCTGTACTTCAGTGTGGCAAACCAAGGGATATACCCGCAACAAGAGGTTTGAAGTCCCAAAGTGATATCAATTGATACAAGTCTCCACCTGTCTTGGGACTGAGAGTTTTGTCATGAATTTTACAAACGAAGCCGTATCATGAGAGTTTCTACAGACAGTAGTCCACCAATGGTTCCTGTTGCATGTTATTTTGTTGGTGTTAAACGAAAGAAACATCCCCAGCAAGACACTTTAAAAGTGATTTTGATTTGATTTTTTTGTCTTGTTTGTTTCTGCTAAAACTGTTAACAAGCAAGACCTTAATGTTCAAGAGGGTGTGCAAGTTAATCAGCAATGATGAAACTCAGTCTTTGTGGCCATTTAAGAGTTTCCAAGTTCTGTCAAGGCTATTCAAGATTTTGAAATTTGGGCCCTACTCAAAGATAAGGAGACAACTCTCTTTGTACTGGTAAAATGTCAGGGAATTCAGTACTCATAATACAAACTTGTAGTCTGATTCTACGGACTGCTGTCGATACAACAATGCCAAAACAATAAAAGCTTCCACAATAAAAAATTTTTATGAGTTTTTCAGGACACAGAACACCTACTAATCATTGTCCCTGTGGATAATTGGACACTTATTATTCAAAACCAGCAGTCAGTCGGCCACTTGCTTTAGTCACGGTGGTGGCAACCTCCCCCCTGGCTAAGGCAACAGCGTGTGCCCAAGGCGTAAAACACTTGGGTCCGGTCTCTGTTACTTCTTTCCTTGCCATGGCTGTCACGACATCTCCGTCATCTGTCACGACAATTAACTTTGGGATTGCCGTGACGTGATAGCGGTTCTTCAGCTCCTGGATGAGTTCACAGCCAAAAGGAACAGCCAGCCAGTCACCATGGCACCGCTTCATGTACGTTTCCATATCTGACGCCGTTTTGTCGGATGAAACGAACACAATCTCAAAGGGAAGTGCATGTTCTTGAAGCTCATTGTAAAATTCCGCCAGAAGCGGAGTAAATTGATTGCATGGAGGGCACCACCCCGCCGAGAAATACAACGCAACAACTTTGTTTTGAAGGACCTCTTCTGGATACACGAGTACTCCAGACCTTCTAGCAAGTTGACGATCCGCGAAAATGTTCATTGCTAATTTTCACATTGCATAATTGCATTTTGCAGCGTGACAAGACTTGAGACTTCAGTACGTAGTGTTAGCGGATTCGAATCTATGACGTCATACTGTGGAGTCTTATGCAAGAAAGTTCAAGATGGCGGCTAGGTCCGCGATCGGAGCGACTGTGAGAGCAGTCAATAAACCTAGAAAATTTGCTGCCAGAAGAGCTGCAATAACCCTGGTAAGTCTACTAGCTGTTACGAAATTACTTCTGTGCGCAACAATAGTTGTCAAACTTTGTAATGACGAGTTTTCGTGACATCGATACTCGAGGTTGTAACAGCTTTATTTTGTAAGAGTACAAGTGTAAAAGGCTTCAGTTACTTTAATATTACTCTATATTTATCAACCCATTTTAGAAGTAAAGTAGTCATCATGTCAGTTGTGTGTGACAAGCAGTACAAGTAGTACACGAGTTTACCTAACCTTTCTAGGTTGTACTTTATCTCTACTTTCTCGCTAAAAGACATGAAGGAAAGCATGCCAAGCCATACTGATCCTTATGTAAGAATTACCGATAGCTTATTTTGCATTTTTGCAATCAAAGAACGAACGGAGATCGATGACAGTCATTGCCAGTTTCCGAGCAAAGTCAAGTTCGATTGCGGCAGTCTAGGATGATGTTATAATTTGCCTTTATCAGGTTAGATAACGTGGGAAAATATCGAGATCTTCGTTATTTTCTCTAGATTTTATGAGCATATCCCAAAGCTCTAGAGTCAAATGGTTTCCCCTTCAAGTCAAGTGGGATCCCTCAGTCATTTAACTCATCGTCTTTCTCCTGGAACAACTGATCAGGGTTGTCTTGGTTGGTACTATTATTTAGGCTGGCCAGGGAAAGTGTCCTTGAATGCTTACATATTCTGCGCCATTCTTTTGTAGACTCCTGCCGCAGTAGAGAAACTCAGATCACTTTTAAAATCAGAAACTGATGATGTAAGTGCATTTGTTAAAAGGAATAGCTTAATTAATAATTGAAGTTCCCTAATATATTTGTAGTTTTTATACATCATGTAGATTCTGTAATTCAATTGGTGAAACCAATGCATGTTAGACGGCATTTTTTTTTTACAGTTTAGCACTGAAATAAAATGATGCCTAATCAAAATAAAATGCTTTTTGGCTCTGGAGTGCACTCAGTTGTGTAAGGAATAACCCCTTCTTAGTGTTGGTATTTCCAGTGACAAATATTCAATCATTTTATCCATTTTCAAATCCATGTAGTACACAGTGTAAAACTAATACTCCCTGCAAAAGAGAGACCATTAATCAGGACAGTTTGTTATTATGAACAACATAAGATTAAATATTCAACTCCAGGCAGATTGCAAATGTGAAAAATACAGCTGTATATTTTAATTTGCAGCTGTTAGCAGTTTTGTTGTCAAGACACTGTTCAAAAGTGCTAGTACACAATTATTACTGAAAATTTCATGATTAAATTCTGCTGCAATTTTTAGTTTATTCTGTTTAACAGACCCTTCTAAGCTCAATACAAATTAATTTCCACCCTTACTCACCAAGTTTACCCTGATTTTCTCTCTCCTCAGAGTGCATTAAAAATAGGAGTGAAGCAAAAAGGATGTAATGGGCTTACTTATACCTTAGACTATACAAAAGAAAAGGGCAAGTTTGATGAGGAAGTTACTCAAGATGGTGAGCTACTTTTGATTATTATTTTGTTTTATTTTTCAAAATGCTTAATATTATGACATGAGGGCTTCCTGTTCTTGTACCATGACTGCACTTTGTTGTTTGTTTGTTTTTTGTTTATTGAAGAAAAATGGTCTGGTAATTCAATGTAAGTCGTGGCTCTTTTCAGTACACATGACTCAAGGTGTTTGAACGAGTACAATGTTCACATCCAACAGCCTGGATTCTTGTCCTTCAGGAAAATCTTAATATATCAAAATAATAGTACTGTTAATGGTCATATATTTTCAATGGTAAATTGACAGGGTTTGTCCAAAAGTGTAGTAATTCTTGTAAACTTGGTATTCTATTTGTCCTCAAATGTAAACAGCTGATTGTTTTAATTGTTTGGGGATAGTTCTTCCAAGCATTGTCTTTGTTGTTCGTTCTATTTTTCTCTCATTCCTGCAAGGGCTGCTGCCCTATCCAATTTGTTTAGGTATAGCCTGGGGTTTCTATTTCAACATTAGTTTAAAAGGTTTGGAAACTTTTTGCATCCATAGCGCCTTTGGTAACTATTTGAAAAATTCCGTATTCATGACCCACCCCTCTCAACATCTACATGGTTTGCGTATAGTTTTTGCAGTTGGCCGACTGTGTTTCCAATTTTTCTACCATGTAACAATCCATTGAACACAATCCAGAGATCCTTGTAGAGCTTCTCTCTTGTGCAGAGTATGAATCAAGTGCACAGTAACAGGTGTCATTTTATTAACGACAGGTTTGTTATTTTGCAGGTGTAAAAATATACATTGATTCCAAGGCACAGTTGTCGCTGTTAGGAACTGAAATGGACTATGTAGAACACAAGCTGGCCAGTGAATTTGTGTTTAATAATCCCAACATCAAAGGAACTTGTGGATGTGGAGAAAGCTTTCATGTATAATTTGCATGACTTGTGTTTGTTTGTAGCAAAGGTCATGTGGACCAGCTTTGAAACTGAAAGTAACACCCTACATCCTGACTTCTGCTCGGCAAGGGCATAAATGTGGGATATAGAAAATGAAAATGTTACCAAAAAATCATTCCTTTTAATTTTTTATTTTCTTTTGATGAAGCAGAGACTCAACAACACATTTGACTAAATTTGAAAAGCTCTTGAGACATAATGTTGTCTGTGCTTCAAAATCCCCCCCAAAAAAGTGAGCTGTCTCGACAAACACACCACTGGTGTGTTTATTTTTGGACACATTTTGTTCAAGCAAAAAGGATGTTTACACACTCGCAAGGAAAAAAGATTCTGCATACCTTTTTAAGGCAGGCTGCACTTAATATTATCAGCCCACTATGATATTATTTAAACTGGAAATTCAGACTATGCTGGACTTCAATGCCAAGAGCAAGATGGGAATTGCCAACAGGAGTAACTGCTCGAAAGTGGATTGGCAGTAATCTGTGCAACAACAAAACTGTCCTGGGGAAATTCCTATTTGGATTAATGGCCAATTTATGCCCGTTATTTGTCATTTTTGGTGATAATTTTTTTGTTGGTAAGATGTGATTATTAGCATATTTACATATAGACTTGTCAGATGCAAGTTTCCTCAAAGATGCAATGTCAAGGTTCACTTAGAAACAATTCTAATTTTGCTTGTTTTGTAACATTAATTCTTACTCTCCAAGACCTGTAAATATGGACTAAAAAAAATATTAGAAACAATATCATATATGGTGTTCTATTTGTGTTGGTACACAATGCAACCCTACACGGAGGCTTCTTTGTTTACATTGTAACAGTCCATCCATATTATTGGTTTTCTTTCTTAGTATGAGTTTGTTCAAGTCTAGTTCTTCAGCCTTCTTTGGAGATTCAGGTCTGAGCTCTGATTAGCCACTTTGCATCTAACAGTCTTTGTGACAACAAGATATAAAAAAACTTCACAGCTCCAACAGATGTGGATTTGTCTAACATGTTTAAATCCTTGTTGCCACCCAATTCAGACCATGTGATGATTCATTTGGGAGATAACAGTAATTATCGTTCTGATTGTGCAGACTCCCATGTAATCAGTTGCGTGTGGCCAATTGCACAATTGTAACTGAATTGAAAATGAATTGTCATGTGGTCTGAGTTGAATGGAAACAAGGATGTAAACACATTAGCTGATTCAGTCCATTTGCATGTTGAGCATAATCAACAATGATATTAAATTTATCAAACAATTTTGGGAAGGAGTCTGGGCTCAAAAACCTAATGCAAGCTTACCCTTGGGACAAGCGGCTCTCAAATTTTACTTATCCTGGGCAAGTCTTGGTTTGCTCTTTTAATGATTTACTCTGGAGATGACTTGCCTCATCGCTTGCCCATTGGGCAAGTGAGAATGAAAGTCACTCACGCAGAAGGAAAATCTACTTGTCCAATGGGACCAGCACTTTTTTTGAGCCCTGGGAGTGATACAAAAAAATTATTTATACACATTGTATAACAACTTTAATAACAAAATAAGAACCTTAAAAGTCTTTTTTCTAAAGAAGTTTAATAATATTTAAGTGCAAGTTATCCTTTTCAAAGCAATGCTCTGAGCATCACAATATGGCATGTTGCTCATACAATTCGCTGTCAACTCTGAAAGTCCTAAGAGCAATTAACAACTATTTTCTCCTGACAATTTTGATCCAGTCTACAATGCTCTATCTACACAGTATTGCTTGTGGTACTGAGGGTTTTACTGTATTGCACAAGGTAGTAGCAAAGGTTTTAAATAAGAGCTGACAACCAGGAAGAAATTAACCATTCTGTAATTGATACCAGTAATAGCAAATAATTGAACTTCTGTTAGCCAACTGTTGCAATTTTGGTAGCCTGTTCAAGACTCCATAAAGCGACTGATTTTGTTTTTTAGTGTTACAGCATACTGTAATGACCGTTTTTAGTCCTGCGAGACAGACTTAAAGCTCTAAGAGCATGTCTAGCTATCATTAATTGGCAGCAATGCTAATACTTAATGACCCTTACCACAAAAGGAGTTCAAACTGTGTTAGTCACTCTTAAGATTAAAGAGTCAACATGATCCCTTACACGATTCTAAAATTTCATTCCCTTAGTGTCTAAAAATAATGGATTTAATTAAAGCTCTCTGACTCAACTTAATGTACAATACTCTTCTAACATGCATAGATGTACTTTAAACCTTTTATGTTGTAGCAGTCCTTCTGCAAATTTGACAAAGGCTTTGCTCTGAAGACAAAATTACAGGGAGCTTTCACACTCCTGAAAATGAAATCCAAGTTCCCCAACACTAAACATCTTGAGCAAAATGTTCCTAACCACTTTATGAAAAGTCATTAGTGTTGATGGTCCTTGAGCAAAGTACAGCCTTTTGTTGTAGTTAATTAGGAATTTAAATGTTGCATTACACTGGTGACTTGTAAAACTTGGCCTGCAAAACCAGGAAAACAGTTGACAGTTGTAACCAGCTTGTACAAACAAATTCACTGACACCCAAGTTTAATGAGCAGGTCCATTTGGAGATTGTCCAAATCTCCTATGTATTCTTGGGTATCTGCAGCCAAAAAGAAGGTTCCACACCAGTGTTCTTTCCATTAGAAGTGCAATGCTTGGACCAGGTAGCAATTACTTCAAAGAAGAGGATGAATGAACACCAGAAGCATAAATCCTTCTCTTAATAGTAATCACTGATGAGGAGTAC